GGGGCCCAGGTATCAAAAGGAGGTGCTCTGACTTGCAGGCTGAGGAGTTCTGGAAGGACTGAGTACCACTAGATCATTATCCAGAATGATCACATTCACATACTTGAGAAGCAAATGGCAGCAGAAAGATCCTAGAGGACTCTGGGTCCATTGAACCTCCAGAGTCAACTGCTAGCACCCACCTAGGGACCAAATTACACAGCAACTTATCTGGAATCAAGTGGCAACTGGCCCATCTCCTTGATCTTCTCTGTGACTAAGCCACACATTCCTTTCAAATCCTACTAGAGAGCACAGGGAGAGAGAGGAGCTAAGTCTGAGAATATTCAATACTAAGAGATTTTGTGCTTGTCAACCTAAATAAAGTACAGAGAAAGATTCTCCATATATTAGGAAGTTTATTTGGGAATAATAGAACATTGCAATAGGAATGCATGTGCCATAGTAAACCAGGGGTATTTTGTTTGACAATCCAATGTAGATTACCCAATAGGATTAGATTTAACCACCTGCACTTGCTATATAAAAGGGGTGGGGTTTGCTAGTGAAATGAATCATATAAGTAAAATCATAATATACTGTTGATACAGTTTTCTCCACTGTTTTCCAGAATACAACAATACAATAACACAAATAATGCTCAAAATAACTTGCATGGGAAAGCATATCACCTCCACCAACCATTGCAAGACTGACAGAAAACCAATGTTTATCAAGGGACAGTGGGCCCAAGTTCACTGCTGCACTGTGAGGGTAGACACAGGCTAAACATCTGCAGTTTGTTTTTTCATGATCACATATCATTTGTTTAATCTCCTATTCATTTCATTTCCATACAATTTTGTTCAGGCGTGAAAAGCTAAATGATTATGAACGAGACCACTATCCCACTATTTTCATGTGAAACCCAGCCCTCCAGTTGAATAATGGTATGCAGTATATGGAGGGGTATAGAACTGGGTACTGTTGGGGGAAAAAAAGAAAAAAATAAAGCAAAATTTTATTCATAGCTTTAGGTATGGGCCTTAGTAACATAAAAAAATGCTAGGGACCTTACCACCAAACGATGAAAAATAAAAAACATGTCAATTGATTTCACCATAAAAGCTGCTGTGTACATCCATTTTATGGAAGCTGCTTAGAGATTAAAGAGCCATCACTCTGAATAAAGTCGACCTTAACTTCAGACATCTGAAAAACTACAAGTTTAAATTAGGATGATGATAATTTTCCTCAGACAATTTTGAAAAAGGTGTAATTCTGTAGCTAAAATAGGAAAGTTGGAAAAAAATCTTTCAAATATCAGTTCTTAAATCAACCATTTCCATGATGTAAAATCAATGATCATCACCAGGAAAAAATTGGTAAGTTCTAACTTTTTTTCTCAGGGTGACATTAGTCTTATAAAGCTGTACTTTCAAGGTTTTCCTTTTTGCTTTATGGTATTTCCATTTAGTTGTCTGTATTTTTTTTCTAGCCCAAATTTTAGTAGCAGTTTTGTACTGGGGCTCATATCTTGATGAGTTTGTAGTAATTCTCACAAAAATTTAAAGTGAGTATTTCTCAAAATATTACAGTTCTAGAAATGTACGTGGATCACATCCTAGCAGAAACTTGAGTAGTTATGGTTGAATTGGCTTGGCCACCTCAGAATTAGTGGGAGAAACATAAAGAGATATTCTAAATTTAGAGACCAAACCCTCCAAAACTTGTAAATTAATTTTTCAATACTAGCAGCACTAATTATTTGTTAATATTTTACAGTTACAGAATTGTAACTGTTTTCAAGGATATGTGTGTGTGTGTGTGTGCACACGTGCGCATTACATATATATAATAGGCAATTGTATTTTCATAGTTACACTGAATTGCAGTGTATATAAAGATGTAAGTTCTGGATTTTTTATAAGTTTATTAATAAAGTACTTTGAAATCACTAGTGATAAAATGACTATGACTAACAATGCTTTGTTATTGATTTGTTATATATACAAACATATATGGGGGCAGGATAGATTAGGGACCCTTGAATCAGGCCAAATCTCACCTTGATTAGTAGAGCTGACCTGAAGCTAAGGACCTCCCCTTCATCTTGCTCCCTGAAGCTATTAGAAGACTAAACTTTCTGAAGTGGAAACATCAAGAACCTGTTTTCGAAACGATTGCCCAATCACTCTGAAAAGCATGCACAGAGACACCCTATGATAAACCAGAGGGAAGAATCCCCTACTAAGACTTCATTTATATTACTTACATATCATGAATTTAATATAAAACCCAGGAATGAGCATTGGATACATGGAAGATAGGCATTATGGGCAAGACAGAGGAATCTGTCAATCACTCCTCACTTAGCACAAATCACTCCTAGTAAAAAGCTCACCAAAGATGAGCAAAGAACTCAGAAGCACATATAAACCAAAATCCCCTGAGTCCAAAGGGGGATGTCCTTGGGTGTCCTCACTGCAACCCCACACCTTATCTTATTCCAATAAAGTCTCTTAACTTTTAGTCTTTGTCTTACTGAATTCTCCTGACCTCATGACACATATATTTTAAAAATTATATATACATATATAATTTTTCTGGTTTGTAGAACCTGCTAAAATCGTATTAGATTCATGAGGGATGAGAGAAGTCTAAATAAAGGCTTTTCAGCTTCTAGTCCAAGGCTGCAAAAACAGTTAAATATAATTAAGATTCCAGTAAGAAATGGTATCTAAAAGCAAAGTGATATCATTTTTAAAAATCAAGGATATTATAGTTTAATGCACAAAGTTTCTTAAAAATACACACAAATAGAAAGTACAAAGTATAGCTACAAAGTATAGCTGAGAATCAGAAAATATGGTGATTTAAAATCTGTCATGGGTTGACAGTGTGAATTATGTGAAACACAAGGACTGGCTTTCTAAAGAATAGTGGGGGTTGGCCAAATGTACCTCTTTTTGAAGCCCCTACCATGGTAAAATGAGCTACTTGGCTAAGATGTGGGTGGAAGTTTCAGATTTCACGGCAGGTCCAGAAGGTTCTAAAAGCAACAGACCATTCATCAAATCAAGTTAATTGGGAATATGGTGTTTTTCTGTTTTAAAATGTTGACCTACCCCACAGGCACAGAGCACAGCTGGGATTTGTGTACTGCCTAGGTATTGGTTTGACAGGGTAGCTGATGTTAAGTAGGTACAGACAACACAGGAGGATGGAAGTCAAGGAGAAATCAAAGGTGAAGGATTTGTCCCACCAGTCCAGTAAGAGACGGTAATCTCATGGACATGCAGCCACACAGGTATAGAGTTGCCAACTTGCAGACTTGTATGTGATTTGTCAAGGGATGAGGGAAGTCTAAATAAAGACTTTTCAGCTTCTAGTCCAAGGCTGTCTCTGGGCCTCCCTGGTAGCTCATTTCCAGGCATATAAATGGTACTAATCTCCCCTGCGGAGAGAGGTATTCAAAGGAGCTGAGTTTTAGGGATTCATTACAAAAATCTCCATTTCTTCATTTTGGGTTGACATATCTAAACTGCAGGAAAGACTGAAAGGTAGCTAATGTCTATGATGTAGGATCCTGTTCATAGCCATGGGATATCTTCAGATACTCCTGGACAGAGTGACACAAAAAATCTCAGCTGTATTTGACTTGGACGCATCTCAAACCGAACTCGTACACTAGGTTGAGGCATCCTCTAAAGAACTGACCTGTGATAACAAATCTCACATTTTAAATTCCTGTTTATTAAGGAAGGTAACACACGGCGGGCAGAGCAATGACAAGTCCCAGTCAAAATGGCTGTGTCCCAACTTTGTCCTGGAGTTTCATGTTCCAGGGTGAATTAATAATTCAATCTTCATGAGCCATCAATTCTAGTCCCCCTTTAAAAGTTTGGCAATGGTCCCAGCTAATTTCATTTATGATGTGGATTTTTTTGAGACCATGAGCATTCAGAGAATGAAAAAGGGCAAGCCTCCTCTCATTATATGAGTGTGTTTCTGTTCTTTTTTTTTCCCCTTCCAGTAATACTTTATTGATTTATTAATCAGCAACAAATCAAAGGGTAAGGACATGCCATTTCCTCATTAATTAGTCATAGGAACAAGCAACACTAATCAGTCTTACTTCAACTATAAATAATTAGTCTTCTTTATTTCTCTTGAGAGGAGAGTGAAGTATAGAAATTTTGATCATGCTTCATAAATTTTTTTTCACAGAATGAAAATATATTGTCTGATATATAAATTTTGAGAAATACATAAACAGAAAATATGTTTTAGTGCTTAACAGTTTTTATTCATGACTTAGAAGAGTTGAATTTTCATTAGCTTATGTGTGTGTATGTTTTTTCTTTGTTTGTTTTTTGACATCCAGTTGCTTCTTTTTTTTCACTCCAAAATGAGTCTGCTACAGAGAAAGAGATCTAAAGAACTTAAAGTTCTACTTAGGATTTTACTGAATTATGGTAACTTTTTCTACATTAAATACATTTTCTACAGTTTTGTGATTCTATTCTTCAAACAATCCTTCAAGTACTTACTCACATTGGTCATTCAACGAATCTTTATTTGGCAGCAGTGCATATCACTGTGCAAGATGCAACACTGACTTTATAATATTGTATAAGGTGCACATGGTTCTAATAATAATGGTCTACCTTCAAAGAGGGGAAAGTGAACCTCAAGCCAATAAACATCAAAATAAATGCATTATTATAAATTGAGAAAACTTCCAAGGAAAAACAATTACTTCTACTTCCTAATAGTGACTAGTTTTGAGGGTTTTCATTACCCTGCTTGTCAAGTTAGTTGACAACTAAATACAAATATTCTTTCTCACTAAAATACATCTTAACAGATTTCTTCTCCATTCTTTTACTTTTATTTAGAAAAATAAATTGCTCAAGAACTGTTTTTTGCCCTCAATCTGTACCTGACTAAGCTGATTGTGTTACTGTCCATACTGCCATCAACCAAGTTTTAGCTTTTATAAAAATCAACCTCTTTCCACTGAGACTAGAGTCACCTCCAGACATGGCTGTTGTGTGCTCAAGTCCTGGGAGAGAATCTTCTGCTCTTGACTCACTGGTGAGGATAATCAGTTTCCTTCAGTGCCCAGAGCAGACACAGCCCTACCTGGGTACCTGAAAGTGAGGGCTGGTAGCCATACCTTCTCCCTCAGGGAGCTGGTACCTGCTGTGCCCGACTATAAGCACTTTTTTCCTCTTTTCTAAGGCTACTCCAAGGTTCTGGAGAAGGGAAAGCTCCCAAAGCCGACTGACCTCATGAGGGCCCAATTTCTCAGTAGAAGTGCTGTGAAGAAGATAGTCTGGGGGTGCCCTGGTGACTTCAAGCATATGGAAGTAGCTTCCTAAAATGCTAACACATGGTAAATAAAATAAAATGAATGAAATAAATATCTTTCAAATTCACTACTAACATCATCTGTATAGCCATTGCACAAATTATTGTGAGGTATCTTCCAGTTGATAAAATACAAATTTGTATCTATTGTTTAATTTAAACTCATTTCCTAATGGCATTTCTAAGATAGAAAGTCACCTAGCACAATATAGCATTGGACTTTATTTTCTGCTAAGTTTAAAAAATATTTGCTCTGCACTCAAGTTACTTGCTCTCATGTTGTGAGTTCCACCAGAGATTTTTAAAGCAATTTAAACTCTATAACCCAGACTTCTGCTTTAATCACTATTATTAAAATGACTCTTCATCTATTATTTTGAACCAAGCAACCAACATCTCTCTCTCTACCTCTCTCTTTCTCTCTCTCTCTCTTTTTCTGTGTACAGTGGATTGAACCCAGAGGCACTCTGCCACAAAGGTATGTCCACATCCCTTTTTATTATTTTATTTTGAAATAGGGTCTCCCTAAATTGCCCAGGCTGGCCTGGAACTTGACATTCTCCTCCTCAGTCTCTCCAGTAGTGGGATCACAGGTGCATACCACCATGCCCAACTTCTCTCTCATGTTTTTATTGATAACCATATATTTTTTAAAAAATGCTCATTTTACATATGAATTAAAAACTTGATTTTCCATGTTTAAAAAAAGTTTACCGGAAATTAAAAAAAAAAGTTATATGATCTCACCCATTGGTAGATAAATGAAAGAAAGGTAATAGAAGGAAGTCAATCAAAATTGACGGAAACCTAATACCAATCTCTGCCATTTATACGATGTTATTTGAAAGAAGCTAACTAACATTTATGTAAATCCTCTTTAAACCAAGAATATAATTTAAATAATATTACCTTACACTAAGGAAACCTAGAATGGAAAGCATTTTCATAACCATTTAGAGAAAACTAAGTCTCCAGTGATAGTTATTAGGGTTTAGAGGAATCTCTGTCTTATTGCAATACTCCTTTGCCCCCATTGTACAACATGATACATTCCCCTGTGTTACCAGCTATAGAATGGTCTAAAAACTAAAAATCCAAGTTCACATGTAGATACATGGTGTTACAATAGAGTAGAAGATAGGGTACATGTCCCTGGAAGCCTCCTCTGGAAAAAAGAGAGGGAAGGTCTGATGTTTTGATGATTGACTTGGTCAGTGCTGCTTAGTCAAGCAGCAATGCTTTGGGGTGAATATTTAAGAACTCCTTACCTTGAGATCATTAACATGAATATCTTGTATTAGTTAAGAATCTACAGCTTCTTTGTGAATAAAAATTGATGTAACTATATGCCAAAAGAAATAATTCTAATTTTGTATTTTGTTTGTAGACATAGAAAGTTCTATTAACTCAGTGTATTGGAACAAAGCTTAAAATGCAGATAGAAACAAATTTTGTGAAGCTACTGCCCCAAATTGGTGATTCATCTACATGGGAAAGTTTCATTGGTGAGACTTAGCATCAGAGGAACATATGCATATAGACTGTAACTTTTATTTTAATAAGTTGTATACTTAATTTTTAATGCATTTCATCATTTTCACCTTGTGGCCAAAATAATGTTGACAAGGAACACCTCTTTAAAGTACTTCTTATGAAAAGAGAAATGGTACATTATATTCCTGACACTTAAGGTCAAGTACAGAAGATGCATTGTATATTAATGTACCCAATATATCAGACAAGAAGTTAATGTCTTCCCTCCCTTTTGGGTCTAGAATATTTCATAAAACTATTTTTACTTTCTTCACTATGATTAATAGTATCCCAGAAATACTCTGTCCTGACAGAACATAAGGACAGCTTTGATATTATATGAGAATCATGGAGGCATTGATTCTCATTATATTTGAAATGATACATTTCAGAAATGGGAAATAATTTCACGTATAGGTTTCATTCAGCACAACATAGTGTGTTATTTTCCTCTAGGAATTTATTCAAAATAATGATTAATAATTGCAATTTTGGCTGAATTACTTGAATTCTTTAATGCATTCTTCCACTAAAAACTTTGCTGGAGCAGTTTGGCACTTTAACATGAACCATCTATGACTGACATTCACAACAGAAACCTATTTTGCAATTTTTTTTTCATCTGGGTCAATGATTTTAATTTGCAATGTGGCCTTGAAAAATACTGTTGTAAATAATGTTTAAAATATGCTAAAATAGAACTTAACTAAAACCAAATGCAAATAACAAAACAGATATAGGTCATTAGATTTTCTATTAGTGGATTCTAATTTTTTTTTAATCTGTTTTTTTCTAGGTTATTTTTCCTTGCTGGTAGCCTTGTGGGGAATCATCACAGCTATGCTATCCTGGACAGAAGTCCCTGTGCAAAACTTATCTCAAGAAATATAAAAGATATTCCTTAAGCATATATATCCACTCACCTTAAATATTATAAAATAAAATCTCCTGACAGACCTAAGTTTCAACATTAGACATTTCTTCATCATGGTACACATACAACAGCTGGATACATTCCAACATGAAATTTCACTTGTAATTTATTCCATAGGGAAAAGTACATGGTCTGAAGGATACAATTGTTTTTACCCTGTAAACAAGTTCTTCTTCTGTATTCTATATTTTATTTTTAATACCTCAATTGAACATATTATTTTTGCACATAATTTTAATTTCAAAATTGCTATATAATTCATTAAAGGTACTTGAATGCAAAGATAAGTAATAGGGTGCTGTTAGTAGTTTCCACTCCTACATATGGTCACATTCAAATTTTTAAAAAAAATCTACTGATTCATTCTTGTTTCAACATTCTAAAGTTTCTAGAATAGTCTTTCACTCAAAATGCATAAATATGTTTGTCTAAAGTGGTTCTGCTCAGCAATTTAATAAATTGTGCAGTCCACAGGGAATACCATTAATTATGTAAAGACTGATGGGGATTCATTTACTTCGTTTCTTTCTGAACCACTTGACTTGTCTCTATTTAATTAAACAATAACAAATGTGATGGTAGGGAGAAATTATGCTGTCAGTGAACAATACTAAATATGTCCCTGGAATAGAGAATGCCATTTTAGATGTCTTCATATTTAGAGAGAAAATCAGAGTAAGATCACTACAGACTCTTGCCCACACGCCTAAACCTTATTGACAGGTATCGTCCATCATATGTTCACTGTAGTTTTGAGTTATGGAGAACACTGAGAAGACAAATAACAATCACTGCGTCAGCACATTCCTTTATTTCATCCCTCGCAGAGTCCATTTTCTTTCAGGGAAGCAGATTCCAGGCACTTTATGTAATGTTCACATGTCTTGCTTCAGTACCAAAGTTGGGCCTTGTTTACAAAGCCCGCTGCACTGCACTGTGAACTTGGAATATCAAAATGTTAAAGACAGGCTCCCATAGGGACAGTGAGTTAATGTAATAACTCACCACAAAACCATTAAAGTCACATAATTGTAAACTGACATTTGTAACAAGTTACCAATTTAGTTGAATACCTAAAATGTTTTTACTGTAGAGCTGAACTACTTGAAATTTTGTAACCACACAATCCATGACCATATTAAGTCACCAACACCAAAGGATTGCCACAGAGGAGGTCACATTGGAGATAATCTGTGGATCTCTGGCATTAAGAACTGCGGTGGTTTTTGTAACCTTTCTACTCTGGTTTCTATCTTTGCATAATAATATGTAAATATCTCCTTTGGAAAAGATATAGTTCAGGCCTACTCGTATTTATAACACAAGCAAAACATTCATACCAGTGCATATAACAGAATACCAGAAACTGTTCATAGGTCTTCTGATACACATTAACTCCTCTCTGACAAAATTTTTTATGACCAAGTTTCAATCAGGAGTCAGCAAAAGCAAAGATATTTTATCACTTGGAGAGAGGCGGCACAGACACACTGACACAGTAGTAGATACTTTTGTAATTTTCCCTTCAGAGTTAATCTCTTTTTTTTTTAAAGTATTATAAGATTAATGAGTATTGGAATTGATCATTTAACATTCCCTTGAAATATAAATGAAATGATTCATAGAAAAATTTCTAGAATTTTTCCCAATATGTTTTATTTATCTTATCATAACAATATTAAAATCAATATTATGATGCCTATATAATTTTACCAAATAATTAAAATTTGATACATAACTAAAAGTATTTTGTAAGTTTCAAACTAAAAAAACCCAAATCATAATTAATTATATTTAATAAACAAGCTGATTACTGTTTGCTGTTGTTTTAATTTTAGAATTTAATGAAAATTAAAACTTTTACATAAAACAAGCAAAGTCTCACAGCCATACAATAAATCATAAAACAAAATTTTCTAAATAATTGAAAAGATTTATCAATTGGGCATACCACAATATGTTCATTGTGTAAAGTAGAATAATAATCAGAATTAAAAGGATAATTGATTTAACATACCAATTTTCAGAGACAACGGATGTCAACATTTTGATATAGTTATTTCTGGTTCTGTAATGTTCATTTTCTGTACTCATAGTTTAGCTGGTTATTGCCATACAATTTTATATGATAATAATATAAAACATTATAGCAGATTTCATATATTATTATACATGCATTATGAACAAAATTTTAGTAGCTATATAAGACAACATCTACACATATTAAATCTACCAGACAGCTCATAACTTGTACAGATGTTCTCCATTGTTAAATATTTTGGCTATTTTAAATAACCATGT